TGTCTTAACTCCAGGAGAACTGAGGAACAAGTTGGAAGCTAAGAGCACAAAAGCCATGTTTATTGGGTACTCTCCAACTCAAAAGGGCTACAAGTGCTATGTTCCAGACACGAGGAGGGTTCTAATCTCAAGGGATGTGAAGTTTATTGAATCAAAAGGCTATTATGATGAGAAAAGCTGGAGTGATCTCAAAGACTTAGCACAATCAACCTCTGATAGGGCTAATAACTTGAGAGTGCTCTTGGAAAGTCTTGGCATTGGTATGTCAAAGGAACCTGAGGAGGTAAGAAAAGAACGTGTCCAGGTCAGAAAAGAACCTGTCCAGGAGGAAGCAGAGGCTGTACAGGACACTGAAGTCACTCACCTTGATCCTGAGGGGGGACACCAGCCTGAGCAAATGCAACCTGAAGAACACCCTGAGCAAATGCAACCTGAAGAACACTCAGTTTTTCATGATCAAGATGAGATGCCATCTCATTTAGACGAAGAGACCCAACCAGGCAACAATAGTGGTGCAAATGAGTCAGAATCTGATCAGATACAGCCCTTGAGGAGAAGTACAAGGATCAGGAAACCAGCATCAAACTGGACTAACAGGCAAGTTTTCTTCAATGCAAAAGCAGTGGCTCATCCGACTAGTGCTGTGTGCTCACTCGCTCATTATCCAGAGGAACATCAAGCTTTTGTCAGCTCACTAGACCAGGAATGGATACCTAAGTCATATGAAGAAGCTATGGGAGATGATGAATGGAGAGCTTCTGTGGGTGATGAGATTGGTGCCATGGAAAAGAACAACACTTGGTATGAGACTGAGCTGCCAAAAGGGAAGAAAGCAGTGACAAGTAGACTGCTATACACCATCAAGTACCTTGCCAATGGGAAACCAGAGAGAAAGAAGACCAGATTAGTAGCAAGAGGATACACTCAAGTATATGGTGAAGACTATCTGGATACATTTGCACCAGTGGCCAAGCTTCACACCATAAGGATTCTATTGTCACTTGCTGTGAACCTAGAATGGGATTTATGGCAAATGGATGTGAAGAATGCCTTTCTACAAGGAGAGCTAGAGGATGAGGTGTACATGAGAC